AGCTTAGGTTAAAACTTCCCCAAGGCACAAATCCTTTCCTTATCCTTGGATGGTATTGCTGCCACCACCAAGTGATTTAGACACAAATTCAGGAAAATGGGGAAACAGGGACTCCAAGTGGCCCTGTTTCCCCAAAATATTCCCCCAAGCCCATTCATCCCCTTTCCTGGGGGAGGCTTGAGAACAGTATACTAACAAATTGGTTACAATGTGAGCACAAACCAAACCCCTTGGTTTTTAGGACACTGAAAATCAATCAGGTTCGTGAAAGAAGAATTTTATTAAAAAAAAAAAAAAGGAAAAGAATCACACCTGCAAAATCAGGATGGAAGGTAACTTTACAGGGTAAATAAAAAGATTTAAAACACAGAGGATTCCCCTCTGACTCTGCTTTCCAGTTACAAAACAGGAATGAAATTACCTCTTAGCATAGGGAAAATTCACAAACTAAAACAAAAGATAATCTAATGCATTTCCTTGCCTTACTTACAATTTTTGTAATCTTAGATGCTAATTTCAGGTATGTTTCCAGGAGATGTTTTTCCTGCCTGGACCCTCTCTTCATCCAGAGAGGGAACAACCAAAGGGAGCACAAGCAAAACTTTCCCCGCTTCCTCCCCCCGCCATTTGAAAGTATCTTCTTTCCCCATTGGTCTTTCTGGTCAGGTGCCAACTAGGTTAATTGAACTGATTAACCCCTTACAGGTAAGGCAATTCAGTACAGCTGCCCTGTGTATATTTATGACACATGTTTCTCTGGTTCTTGCGCTAAGAGCTCTAGGACTTGTTGATAATAAGCGATGACACCCCAACTGACTTGAGAGAGATCTTTCACCTGCCAGGTGGGGTGAGGCAAGCAGCCTGTCCTGTTTCTAGCTGGAGGATTTAGGGCTGCTGCATCTCAACAGGAGCCAGGTGAGGTAATGTACTGGTGGGGGAAAGTAGAGTTTGTTCCACAGCCCAGAATCTGACCATGTGTGTGACAGACTAACAGAGCACTTTAAAGAAAGCAAGAGAAAGTTGAAAGAATGGGCAGGAGGAGAGAGAAAGCAGCAGCCAGACAGATGGAACAGAAGGGCATTCATGAGGACGGAGACATTTAGGAAGAGAATGGAGGGGGAAAGGATATATAGATAGTGACGCAGACACTTCTGGGGACAGAGAGAAGGATGCACAGCACAGGCAGACATTGCAAAGCAGAGGTTTAATCCGACACTATCTATTAAATGATTTAAGAAGGATATTCCTAAACTGCTTAAATGAGGGTATGAATGGGTTGGAGGCTGGTAATGGAATACAGAGTGTTTTGCCCGAGGGCCAGTGGTTCAAGTCCAGTCTGAGTTGGTCACTGTCTTAGTACAGAACTGTTCAGATCACATAAAACACTACAGTTGGCATCCTTGTAAGTAATCTCAGCACATAAGGCCAATATATTCAATGAACTAGGAGCATGAACTGCCCTCTGACCTACCCCCAGAAGTGGTCCTTTCTGCTCAGAGTTGAAGCAGGTGGGTAGGATAAGAAAGCTTGCACAGTTTTCTGTTCTGAAGCTAGAGGATGTCAGTCTCCACAGCTGTGTCAAGCCTACCATTTCAGAATCATTCAATTCACTTTAAATGTATTCAGAGAAATTCTCTCTGTTCTATTTAACTTTCCCAACTTTACTAACTTCCGATTTACTCTTTCAGGCTGGCGGACAGACAAACGCTGGGCAAGTGAGCCAATCTTTCGGAGGTGTGGGGAGAAACCTGGCAGGTGCTTAGTGGTGGGTTTTGTTTGTGGGGGCATGCAAGTAACGGTTTATTGTGTATTGTTTGTATTGCAGGAGTGACTAAGCCCCAATCAGGATCAGAGCCCCACTGTGCTAGACACTGTACAAACACACAAGTGGATGCAGTCCCTGCCCTGAAGAGCTTACAATCTATTAGGAAACCAGACGCAACAAGTGGACATTACAAGAAATAGAAGGGGAGGGCTGGAAGGCAGGCAAGGGAAATGAAAACAATTACATGCAGTAACTATTTCACAGTGCAATGGCTCCAAATCAGAATTAAACCAACAAACATCAGTCTTCCCTGATAACTGCTGCAAACCTAGTCAGCATTAGTTAGCTGACTTCCTACAGGAGCCACAGTAGCTTTAGAGATTAACTCAGGGAGGACGTTCCACGCATAAGGGGCAAGCATGGAAATATTTGTGGGAGACGCAGACAAAGGGACCTTCAAGGCTGTGATCATTAGGGGGACATAATAAGATATGTGCTGTGAAGTCATTGGCACCACTCCAACAGCTCAGGTTTAGACTATTTTAATTACCGGTGCCATAATGAGCAGAGCTTGATATTTTGTTTATTTGGGGAAAGGAGAGAAGGTTTAAAGAAAAAACCCTAACGTATCTCATGTAGGAGCAGAGAAGTTATTTCACCTCCGTATTTGGCATTAGTTCGACTGCTGCTGGAATACTATGTCCAAAGTTTTGGTGTCCACAATTCAAGAAGTATATCGATAAATTGGAGACAGTTCAGAGAAGAACCACGACAATGATTAAAGGATTAGAAAATGTGCCTTATAGTGATAGATTCAACAAGCTCAATCTATTTAACTTATCAAAGAGAAGGTTAAGGGGTGACTTGATTTAAAAATTGCCAGTGGTGGAGAATCCACCATAACCTTTGGTAAGTTGTTCCAATTGTTAATTACCCTCACTGCTAAGCATTTATGCCTTATTTCCAGTCTGAATTTGTCTAGCTTCAACTTCTGACCATTGGATCCTGTTAGACCTTTCTCTGCTAGATTGAAGAGCCCATTACCAAATATTTGTTCCCCACATAGGTACTTACAGACTGTAATCAAGATTGGATGTTTTTCTAAAAGATCTGCTCTAGGAATTATTTTGGGGAAGTTCTTTGGCCTGTGTTATACTGGAGGTCAGACTAGATGATCACAGTGGTTCCTTCTGGCCCTGGAATCTGTGAACCCTGGAGTTAAGCTTTGAGGTCAGTCCCCAAATCTTGCTAATGTGAATCTACCATCACCTCAGAGCAAGGAACGGATGGGCTTAAAAAAAACCCTCCATGCCAGTGAAATATTTGTGATAGTTTGGGAAACTCATTCTCCACTAGGAGTCAGTTCTAGTCCAAGGTACAGCTGGAGCAGTGGAGTGGGAAGCCTAGTGGTGATAAGGTATGTCTACACAGCATTTTGGAGCGAGTCTCCCAGACTGAGTTGATAGATTCAGGTTAGCGGGGCTTGCACTAGTGCTCTAAAAATAGCTGTGTAGACAGCGCTCTGAAGGTGCAGCTCAGGCTGGAACTTGGGTTCTGAAGCCCATCCCCTTCCATAGGCTTCAGAATCCAAGCCACATCTTCAAAGTGCTGTCTACACAGTCATTTTTAGAGCACTATTCCGAGTCTGTTGACCCAGGCTTGGAGTGTAGACAAAATGCAGTGTAGACGTATTCACAGAGTCCATGCATAGAAATGATAGGGGGGGACTCTGGGTTGCACTTCTGCAGGTGGGATCCCAAGGAAGAAAGGTGTTGATTGGGGGTGTTTCTTCCTTGCCCACCTCTTCACTTCCCCCATTACCAATTCAAACTAGCCACACAGCCAGTAGTTTCTGTGGCAGAAGACCAGCATATCAACTTGTCTTTTTCCCATGCCAGACAGACTGATGGGCAGCCACAGGGAGCCCTGATAGACAGTTCTGCTGAAGACGTACTAGCAAGGGACTGGTGGGTGGGGAGAAGGGCACCAGTTTTTCCAAGAGGGACCTTCCTACAAATGTTCAAAGATTTCACCCTTCACAGGTTGGAATTTGTGCTCAAGCACACGGTCCTCTGCTGGGATTATAATCTTGCTCCCTTGCCATTTGTTTTTAGATTGTTTAAGCCGTCTTGGGAAGACCCCTCTCTTTATCTCAGCTCTGGGGAAGGATGAACATTCAGAGTCCATCTTGCGTTACTGCCGCCACATGGTAGGTCATGCAATGACAGTTCCCCAGAGGAACAGAAATGATGATTGAACTTCTTTGGTGTACAGAAACCCCAGAGTTGCATGTGTATAATCCCCTATCATCATCCAAATGTACACAGCTCTCTAACCTGTGTCATCATTCTCCTGAATGCAGGCTGAACAAATCTATCTGGGCAGGGCCGGCTCCAGCTTTTTTGCCGCTCCAAGCAGCGAAGCCAAAAAATATATAAATAAATAAAGCCGCGATCGGCGGCACTTCGGCGGCAGCTCTACCGCACCACTTCATTCTTTGGCGGCAATTCGGCAACGGGTCCTTCCCTCCGAGAGGGAGTGAGGGACCTGCCGCCGAATTGCCGCTGAAGACCCGGACGTGCCGCCCCAAGCACCTGCTTCCTTTGCTGGTGCCTGGAGCTGGCCCTGTACCTGGGATAATAGCTCAATGGTGCTTGCATTAGAACATTGGACCAAAACTGCCAGGACTGGGAGGAAACTAGCTGGCTTTCTTCAACTCACTAACTGTATTGTGCATCAGTGGGATGTGTCTGGCTGATCATCCATATAAATACCAGAAGTCAGAGACCCCCTTCCTTCCTCAGGCAGAGCATCAGAAAGAGGTGGGAGCAGGGCTCTACCAAACTCTATTGGAGAGATCTGTCACTTCCGTTTACTAAATAATGTATTAGGCACCCATCTCCATGGAGCCTGGGTGCCTTACATCCATTAAAAACAAATCACCAACCAGTATTGTCCACATTGGGTATTATGGGATTCCTCACTGATGTTGCTCAGCTCAAGATAGGGAGGAAGTGGAACCGAGAACAGATAGGTGGGCTGCCACGAAGCTGTCTGCTGGGGGAAGCGAAACCTGAAGTCAGCTGAGTGTGGCAGAGAAGGGACATTTACTCCATTTATGACTCTTCCTCCTGTTTTAGGACATGGCAGGAGTCCTTCAGCTTGCGGGGCACAGTACAGCTACCTACTGTGCAGTGATTACAGGCAGCGGGGAGCTCAGCCTTGGCTTGGGAGACATGGACATCCACCAGCAGATAACAGAGCAATACGTAAGGATGCCCTCTGACCTATACTCCTTTATTCATGAGGAGAAGCCTGGGTGTGTGACAGCAGCAAGCATCTAGTGCACGTGTGCAAGATAATGTGCGCGCGCTTGTGGGTGGAGGATGCCTAGATAACATCATTATACATTGCAAGTGCGGCATACTGAAAGCAGCATCAACCTGTGGAAGCCTAAGGGTAGCCTCAAATTTGGTTCAGTGACATGGCACTGTAGCAAGCTGCTGGTCCGCCAAAGCTACTTATTTCCAGCTAGCCAGATGGAAACGGAAAACATTCTTTTCCCAACTGAGGGTCATCAATGCTGCCCTATCCACAAAGTCTATGCCACCGACTTCTCGAAAACTAATCCAAGGCAGCCTATTTCTCTAGGCCCCTTTGAGCCCTCAGTAACTTCATGCCCACCGACCTGGAGATAGTGTTTCTCCTTTGGAAACCAAAATAGGTAGCATGGATAGAGCCCCGAAAGCCCATTTTCCTGTCCCATCACCTTCTCTCTACTCCCCCATCCTCTCTGTTTCTACATGCTGAGCTATTTAAACACAGCTAAACAGATCCTGCTTCTCAGCCTGGTGGTTAGGGAAGGTTTCAGGACATTAATGGAAGTGATGTTGATTCAAACAAACCCCCACAGCCCTACCCGCTTCCCCCACTAATTCCACTGTTGACAAAACAAGAGCCTGTACTTAACAACTGATGGAGATTTGGAAGGCAAGTGTAATTTACTTAGCAGCAGGGCCCCCAGGAGGTTCAGAATTCATAGGGGAAAAAAGTGGTCACTGCTCCCACTTCCATCTCCACCCTTCCCCTCCCTACCCCTTGCCATCAGACAGGAAAACAAAACCTTTACATGATGGGTTAATCCTCACGAGCTTTGCAAAATAACCAGTGGAAACTCTGAGCCTAGCTACTGATGAAAGCTGCATTGTGGTGATGTTTACTTCAAGGAAATTTAGCAGAGACATGTGTGTGAGAGAGAGAGAGACTGCTGGAGTAGGGATGGAAGTCTATGGCACGTGGGTGGCAGCCATTTGTGCAATGTGTTGTCATGCCAGCCACCAAGAGCCACAGCAGGGCTGGGGGACACATTACCACAGTGTCTCTGAATTCTGTACGTTTGCCTCAGGGATGCCAGGGTTGTGGGAGATGGCTACTGTGATAGGAAGCGTTTGCTAAAATGTTGTACCTTAATATTTCTAGCTAAGTAACAAGAAATGCTGGGCTGCTTACTTAAGTGATCAGTCCCTCTGCTGCCATTCACCCCTAGGTGGTCAAGATCTGGAAGTACTGTGGAGACAGTATCTTCAGCCTCTGGGACAGGGAAAGCTTGATCTCACACCTGTGACCCCTTTGGGTAATTAGGGAGCAGCAGAGATGATGCATGCTGAAGAGAATCTCAATTCAGTTCTCACTGGAGGGAAAGATTGCACTGAGGTGAGGCCTCAGACCTAAGAGATAAAGGCAGAGGGGAAATAAGATTCCCTGAACGGATGTTTAAAGGCCAGTTAACAGGTTATGCATAAAAAATTGGGGGCATTTGAAGGCCTGCAAATGGAGTAATAGACTAGGGTGACCAGACAGCAAGTGTGAAAAATCGGGACAGGGGGTGGGGGGTAATAGGAGCCTATATAAGAAAAAGACCCAAATATCGGGACTGTCCCTATAAAATCGGGACATCTGGTCACCCTATAATAGACACAAACACAGAGAGAAGGGGAATGATTTGAAGACCCAGGAATATAGAAGGTTAAGTATGAATATGGGAGTTTGAAGGCCTGTGAGTGGGATATGTTCAGTGTAACACACAGGAGCTCAAAGGCTTAAGACAGTGCTTAAAGTTAGGCTCCTGTGTCCATATTTAGGCCCCTAAAAAGTGGTCTGACTTTCCAAGGTAGTGAGCACCCAGAGGCTCCCATTGGCTAAATATGGCATTTGGAGCCTAACTTTAAGCACTGTCTTAAGCCTTTGAGCTCCTGTGTGTTACACTGAACATATCCCACTCACAGGCCTTCAAACTCCCATATTCATCCTTAACCTTCTATATTCCTGGGTCTTCAAATCATTCCCCTTCTCTCTGTGTTTGTGTCTATTATAGGGTGACCAGATGTCCCGATTTTATAGGGACAGTCCCGATATTTGGGTCTTTTTCTTATATAGGCTCCTATTACCCCCCACCCCCTGTCCCGATTTTTCACACTTGCTGTCTG